GGCGCGAGAGGGATGAAAGGGATAGCGAAGATATTTTTGTTGCTTTTGGGGGATGAAAGGAGAGGAAAGGGGATGTAAGAATCAATGTGGAGGATTTCGTGGATGTTGGACGGTTGGTGGATCGATAATCACGTATCTCGCGGAGGAGATTTTGAAAAGTTTTTGTAAAGAAGACAATTCGAGAAATATTATTCAACTGCTTTTAATCCATGTAATACATCTTGGTTGACGATTTATATATACGGAAGAGATATTCTTCTTCGAAAAATATTGGAAAAAGAAGGGAAAAAAGAAAAGAAAATTCCGAGAAGAGAAAGAAATAGTTCGGAATCTCTCGCGGGGGAGAAATGGAAAACCAATTAAACAAAGTATCGAGGCATCAACTTCGCTGCGACCTCGTTTTATCGAGAAGATTGGAAAGTTAAACGAAAGACAGAAGAGCGTCGCGGAGTAATAAGGAAACCTTTCGATAAAAAAGAGATATTTGTGAAAAGAAAAACGGGAGAAAGAAGTAGCGATGAAAAATATATATAATATATAAAATATATAATAAAAGGATAGTGAAAAACATGAAAATCCCTGACACGAAGATTTCGATCCTGCCAATAGGACGGAAATCAGGATCCTGATGGATTGCCAGGCCCAACTTCCTCACGTTCTCGCCCAACTGATGGAGAAGTAGAGTCTGTTAAAGATGGTGAGAGACCCTTCTATATCCTTTAGGAGGATGTGAGAAAACTTGTATTCATTGGTATCCAAAATCATTTTTGATATTGTAAATTTATGAACATCATAAAAAATATCATCTTTTAGGTATCTTTTTTTCAAATTTAATTTTTGAAATTTGGCAAAATTAAAATTTCTACGAATAATTTAAATATTTAAGAAATTATTTAACGCAATTTACAATATTCACGTTTTATTTTGACATTTATCTTGTGCAAAACATTTTTTAAAACGTGTTCTAATACTCTTCAGTAGTATAATAATATAATATAGTGAATTTAGCTATTATATATCTATAATCGAACAAAATATGGTATATTAAATATCTACAGGCAATATTTTATTGAAGCAGTTCGATCAATTAATTTCGTTTCAGCACTTTATAATTGTTTCGATTATACAATATCTAATTTATAATTATATGTAAATAAACCGTATTTTATATTATGATAATTAAATTATTCAATGTAGAAATTTAATATAATCACACCTCGCGTCGTTATATCAATTATATAATCTCCCGATTTAATCGTCTCGATTAATTAACAAAATTTACATTTTTCGTTTTCAAACTTGGTTCATCTCAAAATAATAAAAACTCGTTTCAAGCAAACTCGTTTTGCTTGAAATTCGTACTCCCTCCCCTCTCTTGGATTAATTTCCATTGACTTCGTTCTCCTAAAAATAAATAAATAAATAAATAAATTTCGAGCCAACGAACACACGTTCGCCAATAAACCGCACACACCCTTAAATCCTCTCCACCCTTCATCCATTCTTCACCCACTTGGTGATCGTGGCAAACACGCGTTTTTATACCTGCGCACCGACCGTTACGGACCCACCCCCCTATCGTTTCCCCACCCTCTGTATTTACGCGGCCGCATTAGCCGCGAAACAAGCAAGGAATCTCGGCAACGTTCGCGCAATTACGCTTTGTCGCGACCCCAGCCAAGGGTGCGGAGGGTGCGGATTTAATGACGCTTTGTCAGTTTTACCGAGTCACCTCGCGGAAACGAGGAAGGATTTAATGGTTGGCGAGCTCGTGGACTCGTTAACCAAGGGGGTGAGTTCGTCATCTTCGGAAGACGGTGGTCAGAAAATTGGATACATCCAAGTGAGGAAGGCTTCGTGAAACGAATGACTTTTATTGAAACAGGGTAAGATTACGTGATTCAATTTTGGATGTGTAGTTGTAATAGTCATTATTCTAATTAGGCTTGGGCGTATTATTAAGCGTAATTGGAGTATGGGAATGAGTGAATTAGATCCTTTAAAAGTTTTGAAATATTGTGGATATTGAAGGATTAAGGTGGAGTAAACAGTTTATTCAGAAAGTATAATGGAATACTAATTTTTAATAATTTTTTTTTCTTCTTGTAGAATTATTAAATTTTATTCCATGATCTTTTGGATAATTATAAATGTTTCTTCTATTATAAGATTCTTTTTTGCTTTGTTCTTGAACAATTTTTCATTGGGAGAATTACAATATAAAATTAAAATTAGTTGTAATTCGATGATGGAGGGAATAATAAAAAAAACAATTATTAACAATTTTTTATTCCAAAATATACAAAAATTTGGGGGAAAAATTTCTTCGAATTGGTGGAAATTTGACACAAGAGTCGTGACACAAGCGCGAATCGAAAATTATTCGTTCAACCACTAATTTGCGGCCGAAAGACAGGGCTCGTTTCAATCGTAAAAGTAAATCGTCACGGTCAATATTTGAACGAATTTAATTAATATCGGGGCAGAAAGAGGGAGGGAAAGAGTTCGCTTGTTGCAAGTTTTTCACTTACATCTCCCAAATCAGCCAAATATTTGAGGGTTGTTCAATGTTTTTCATGTAACGCGCGTTTATCCCCCGTGGACCCACGTGTTTCGCGTATCGCGGTGGTAATTAACGCCTTTTAATTTTCCACGGGTCTTCAACAGAAATATTGCCGTGGCTTGATGGACAGTATTGACTCCCGGCAACTCGGGGGAGGCTTGGGCTAATCAATCAACGTTATCGACATGTTGGAATTAACGGCGGATTTTGGGGGGGGATCGACGAAACGCCTCGTACCTTCCAACGATATTTTTCGAGTAAAGGGAAAAGGAGATTAATAATAATATCTGTAATTGGCGAATACAGGAAAAAGTGTTATACAATTTTATGTACAATTCTTTCAAAACACTTCTTACATTCCGTTTTTTAAGTATTCTTTTTTTAATCGTAATTGATGATTGATAAATTAAAGATTGTCAAAGAAGTGCGAATATTATTATGATATTGATGTCAAAAATAGAAATGTTAGAAAGAAGAAATTAATTTATGAAAATTATTTCTCAAGAAAGAATGTAGTCTTCTTTCTTGTCTTTTTAATTTGGAGGAAGGAATATTGTTACGAAAATTCAATTTGGAAATTAGAAATTCTCGACCAAAGAGTAAAATTTTCCAAACTTTATCCCAAAGCTTCCTGGCCGAGCTTCATAAATTTCCCCTCTTAAGACATTTGCGGGAACGATGTGGCCTTTTCGCCTCGATGGTGGATCACGATTTATGTTGGTTCTCGAAAAGGTGTAAAAAAAAAAAAACCTGGAGATCTCTATATTTTTAAAAAAAAAAAAAAAAAGTGTCTCGTTTCTCAAATAAATTTATAGATCATTTCGATTTATCTCTCGATGAAAACTTCTTCGAGACAATCCGCGTGAAAAGAGATGAGGGGGAGAGATAAAAATTAGGACAGAATGGTGGAAAAGTTTTCGAGGAATTACCAACTTTTAAAAATCCTCGAAACAGATGGCCAAGTTTTCCTTTCGAACCCGCCAGGATTATCCGCCGGGACAGGAAAGAATAATTGCCCTGCTCGAGATACATTTCACCTGGAATGATAATAAATCGCAAGTTCCAAATAACGAGTTCGAGAAGCATGGAGTAAAATGCACATAAAAGACGTAGCTTCGATAATAAAATAATGGAAGATGAGATAGATTCGAAAATTTCGAATCGATCCAATTTTTTCCAAGATATTTTTCTCGAGATAAAATTTACCATAAAGATGGAAAATTAAAGAGAAATGATTTTTAAACGTTCATCAAATTCTTCCTTTTACTATTTCCTTAAAAATTTAAAAGAAAAATTTACCATCTCTATCGTTCCTTTTTTTTATAAAATTCATTTCAAAATTTAACACGTTGAAAGATAAAGTAAGATTGGAAACAGAATGGGAGGAATTCATCTCTCCCACGCATCGATCGAATTTTTCATCGTCCCTAAATTGTTTCCTTTCTGAAAATTAGTAGTTGTTTCCTGCCATCTCGAAATGTTGTCGATTCGCACGTAAAGTCGCACGTGTTGCTCCAAGGACTGTTCTTTCCGCGTACAATTGCCATTTCAAATGAACGACACGCTGCCACTTTTAATCGAAACGCTTGCTCGCTCGATCCGGTAAACAAAGTTAAACCCGTTTGGCCGGCGCGCCCACGACGAGAATTGCGTCACGATGGAACGATAATCGTTGGAAAAGGTTGCTCGAAAAAGAGCATCCAACCGGTGTCATTTTGATCGATAACTTCCGTGTCGTTCGTTTTATCGAGTACGTACAATTATAATTTTTATAAACTATATATATATATATATATATATATATATTATTGCG